GAGTGAACAACCATCTTTCTGAGTGAACGAGCTCCAGTATACATGTAGCTCCACAGTTTTTAGTGAACTAGCCACCCCACCCAGCTCGAGGTGAAACACGTACAGAGAGGTTTAAGGCCGACCATCAGGCCAGCAGGGAGTACCGTCCTTTGACCTCCCTTGAAGATCAGCCCAGGCGCTGTTGTTCATCCGTTCACCTACACAGCTTCAATTCAGGAAGCTGGCAAACGTCTTGCAGAGAACTGCATGGTACACGGGCGTGGGCATTATTCCACCCATGCAAACAGTTGACTGCTTTGAAGGTGGCCTTGTAGGGGCCTGAATAATTAAGTAATTAGTTGTAAAGATTTATTTATTTGTTTTATTTATTTTTACGAAACGGCTGTAGGGGGGATATAATTAGGTATTTTCAAATTTTACTAATTCGCTCGGAAATTGCTGCCATGTTGGGATTTGGGTTACAAGATTTTTTTTTTGGTAGAATAAATGCTCTTATGTCAAATGCAAAAACAGTTGATCGATTTTGAAGTACGATTGTTTGGCCTCCAAAACCTGTGTACCTACTACCATACTGAGTAGATTATCGCTGGTCCACTGAGGGGAAAGTCGGACCCCATGGTGTGACAGGGGCTCTCGACCAATAGGAATGGCTAAACAGTCTTAGGTACATGTATTTAGAATGTATGAATTATCCTGAACACGCAAGGGCCATGTTTCATGTATATCAGGTACAGGGCTCTCTGCCTTCCTCAATCCTACAGAATCTTCCCAATATCATGCTGGCTTTGAAGGACTGTGAGAAGTTAATGCATTAAAGGTTCTATTTCAAGTTGTGTTCAGAGCTGTGTGTTAATGGGATGGAATCCAGTTCATCACAGGATGAGGCAAGACTGGGCTCAAGACCAGTCGCAAGTCACAGGGTGAGCTGTGACAAAGAAATGCTTTTGTTATAGGTCATTTGAAAAGCTTGTGACCTGAATTCAGACTGAAGGTCTTGTATACCGGTAGGTCTGATACATGTACATGACGTTGGGTCTTATGACACAGGTGTGTAATATTTGGTATCTCATGAATTCCACAGGTGACACTGTTCAGCTCAGCTGTATAAAGTTGCTTCGTATTGATCAGCATCGCTTGTCACTACACCCATGGAACCTCAGTATGATGTCATTATCCTTGGGGCTGGTGTTAGTGGTAAGTGGGAAGAAATCTCTTTGTAATCCTGAGACCAGTATTTTAGGTGGAAGGAAGTGAGAGACGTTTCTGTTTTCTTAACGTTTCAAAATTGTCGCAATGAAATTTTTATGGTCTATGCTCAACAACTGTAGAGATATTGTCCTGCATAAATATCATCTGCTCTCTTTTGAATATTCAAGTAGCACACAGGAAAAAAAATTCTGTCACAAAAACGTCCCTTTCCTACCAGGCTGGCTATGGACCTGAAATACTAGATGGCTCAACAAGTGATATCATTTCCTTATTCGGCATGTTTGATTACGTCTTTCCCCCACGCTTACTGGTTCCAGTGGGAATGCATTGACACTCTTGTGACATTCTGCATTTATCTACTTGTGTCTAGCCCAAGTGACTGACCTATTGAGCCAGTTACTCAGGGAGATCATCCCGGTACAGTGCAATGTGAAAACACGGTAGCTTAGTCGGTCTTTGTGCAGGAAAGTTGACACCGTTGTAAATAATTCAGAATAGTTGAATGTTACTTGCAAATTGGCAAGAAATGTGTATTCGGATGACGGTTGCTTTCGACCATTTGGATTTGTTTTGCACATTTAATTAATTTATGACCCCTTGACCTGGTGGGAGCACTTCTAGTAACCTTAGAGGATTCGTTTATTACCACTTATCGTACATATCCGCCTAAACCCATGATCACACCATATGTACGGTAAGCACGAGAGAAGTAATTGAATGCACTGGAAATGAATTATATGTTTTAACTCTAACAGTACATAATGCTAAAAATGACTACTCAGTCATGTTACTTGTGAATTATAGTATACAGTGCTATTGCTTGTAAGAGGACATGACCTATTGTTCTCTGAAGCCATAAAATACATATACATGTACATAAGACAACGTACATGTACCATACTGTGATGTGGCACTATGAAGGCATGACGTTATTGTTCTCTGTACGAGTAACAATGGAGGGTGCCCTAGCCAGAAGTAGTAATTTGTAGCGCTAGGTCCTTCAGGCTCAGAGTACTATGCAGTATTTTATAGCACTGAGTCCTGTAAGCCAAATGATGTGCAGGACTGTTAAGGCTAATAAATGAAAAGTCTCATTCTGGAATATTGACCTGTTGACTGCATTTTTTTTTTGCTGTTGGCCAGTGAGATTTAAAAACAGGTTTAGTGCCTGAATCCTACATGTACCATATGATGCTTACAAGGTTGGGTATTTCGTTGAATTTAACCTTTAAGTATTGTTTCCCAAACTGCAGCGAGGAAAATATTGACTTTCCAGGATACACAAGTCACTTACCCTCAATACTTATACAGTTTTATTTATTGTATCACCAGTCTGGTCACCAGTCTTGCCACAAGTATTACAAGGAAATGGTGAAATACATCTTCACTTTTCTTCTCAGGTTTGTCTGCAGCCAAGTTACTGCATGCTGCAGGTCTGAATGTCCTGGTGCTTGAGGCGAGGAGTCGGGTGGGTGGACGGACCTACACAAAACGGGTAATGAAGGTTCAGTAACTCAGAGCATGAAATTACGGTCGGACATTGGCCATTTCTCTCAACTGCTGTGGTTGGACATGTCCTAAGGAAATGTAAAGACACAAGCCCCCAAAGCAGAACCCTGATGCTGTTTTACTCATGGTGTTTGTGCTTTTAACATTAAACTGTGAGTGCTTGCGCTCGTATGACTTTGGTATACCTGTACGTCTGATCGAAAGCTGATAATGACAACAAAATTGATCTTGCTAGTACATATTGTCTGGCTACGTTTTTTGCCTAACTGCATAGACTGGTATCTTATTCCAGTCAGTACAGAATGCTGGTCAGAGATGTAACCATAGGCAGTGTGTTGCATGGCCTTCCAGCAGCGTACTTGTAGGTTGTAAATTTGTTTTTCCTTATTTATGTACAGGATCCTGCCTTTCAGTATGCAGACATGGGAGGCTCTTATATTGGCCCCTCCCAGAAACGCATCAGTAAGCTTGCCAGTGAACTGGGATTGAATTTGCATGGTGTCAACGACAATGAGAGATCCATTTTTATAGACAAGGTAAAATATTACTACAATATGTACAACCACGTGCACATGACAATCTCTGAATATTTTAGGGACACTGACATCACAATTTAGGCCAAGTTTAGTATAGCAGTTTGCCTTGTGCTGGCGTTACATTGCACATGCCAACTTCTCTGTGCTTCCGTTAGCTCTCTGTTGAGAGCTTGTCCTGGAGAGACTTGAACCATGTTGAATTGTTTGCAAGCTGGAAACTAATACAATCAAATGATGGACCGTTGCATTGCTGCTGCAGAAAAGGCCATTAGTATCCGTTGCTTGGGTTTGAATATCAAACCCAAGCAACCCAATAATTAATATTAAAGCTCATTGCTTCTTTGGTTAGGACATCAGGCAAGAGATCGTGAATTTAAGTCCCAATTTGTTCTCTCTCAATTAATTCCAGAAAACACTTAAAGCTGGGTCATTCCATGAGGTTGGGGCACAATTTTTGGTGGTGTTCTTGTTACATCGATAACTTTTACCATCTGTCATGACCTGTAGAGTAGGTCATTTACTCTGTATAAACAACACACACCTCTTTATTCAGCCTTGCAAGATGTATAACAATGTAAGTTTCGAATCCACATGCAGGGAAATAGCTGTTCATTTTTATGGAACCCATGTAACAATTGACACCATCAAAAATTGTGCCCCAACCTAATGGAATGACCCAGCTGCTAACCCTGTATGGGTGATCAGTAGGTGATCAGTTGGTACAGAGCTGTTTAGTGGCTGATCTAGGGTCATTAAAAAACAAGAATGTTGGGGATTATGGCCCTGCATGTCCATTGCATTCCTGGATTGTCATGAACCTAGATCTGCTCTTGAAGCTGCGAGTGATGTTTAACCCTAACTTCCCTGATCTTTGTACAAGAAAGTGTTTCGACTCATACAAATTGTTGTGAATCCATCTACATGTAAATATTGTGGAATCTGGTGTTGAATGTTGTTTCAATGACAATTGCATCTTGTTCCTTATTGCACACTTTAATACACTCCCCAGATAATTGGAATAGGGCTTTTGTAGAAGCTCAACCCAGACTAAAAATCTATTTAATCCATGTTTGCCCTAAATCTGCAGCCATTGTACAAGTAGCCCAGTTGCTTTGAGCTCTCCTTCATCTTGGTCAAGAAATACTCCTCTTCAATCTCTTTTCCCCATTTCTATGCTCCATACTCTGTACCTACATGTAGTGAGATTCCTTTGGTACAATTATCATTCTATCTCACAGGGTAAGGTGATCCCCTACAGGAATTTCCCACGCATTTACAATCCCTTTGCTCTAATGGACTTTGTCAATTTCTGGAGGACGGTGGACGAATTCTGCATGCAGGTAGGCACACTTTACATGTATCTCAAGCCATCTATCACAATTTTAAACTCATTCTCAGGAGTTATTAGTTATTGTGGAATTGAATTCAGTTAGAACAAGGATGGAAACTGAAGTAAATGTTGAAAGTTTTTGGCTGTCTGAAAATTGAATTAATTCATTGCTAATAATGTTCATGTGTTATAGCTTGCCAAGGTGATTACATCATGGGCACATTTTACAGTGTAAAAGGCATTAGTGCGAGAACCAACACATGAACCAACATGTGCAGATACTACACAGCACTTTCTGGTTCAAAATGACATCACCCTTCCAAACTCTCTAGTGTGTTTTAAAAATTAAGTTCTGTTTGACCTTTAAATATTGAGTTTTTATGGAATAGCAAAAAGGAAGGTTTTGAATGAAATATTTTCAGACCTTTGTTACCTGTTTGAATTTATTTCCAGTTAAACCTGGAAAGAAATTACTCAGGCAAGATTTGAACATCCGACCTCAGATATAGCTCAAGGGCTCTAACAGCTTGACCACCCAGCCTTCTATAGCAGTCTGCACCCTTAGCCCCTTTTTCTTGTGTCGCAAGTTGACATATTAACCACTTGTCACCTCATGACATGTAAACATGCACAGATTTCCTGTCTTGTAACACTGCGGACGTTTGAACATGTTCTGGCGAATTCCGTATGCAGACTCTCGAGTGATTCCCGTTAAGTTTGTACATGCACACGCAAGCTCACACTAGTGCATTGAGGTTGAGCTTGCCTGGAGCCCAAGGGCTACTTTGTGCCACGGCCACATGTTGTAGCAAATGCCACTTTGCAACACTGTCTGATAGTTGCCAAAAAGCAAATGACGAAGTACAACATGTCGCACAAATCTTCAGCAAATGATCACTGAGGGTTGACCTTGTAAAGTCCACCTTTATATAGGACAGTAGTTGTGGTATCTTGTTATTTTTAGTGGTCTATATTTTGGTCTAAAATAAAACATGCCTGGGACCAGTTCACTATGGAACAGTACCGTTGGAAAGTTGTTGAGAGAGACACCCCCCTTGTATCAGACAGGTCAGTTGGTGTGGCACCAGTATTGCATTTGGGGGGTTTAAGGTTTCTGACCTTTCAATGGTCAATTTCTTTTCTTCATGTTGAAATTGATTGAAAAATGCCCCAGTGAGATAGTGAATTCCCTCTCTGTGGTCATCTTCCTAGGTGTCCCTGGCTTCCCCCTGGGACTGCCCACGGGCTGCCGAGTGGGACAATATCACCACCCAGGAGTTCATCGACAGGACCTGTTGGACGCGGTTTGCCAAGGCCAGCGCGGTTTCCATGATCCGCATGACCTTTGCCATCGAGCCCAGGGATATGTCCTTCCTCTTCTTCCTGTGGTACACTCGGAGTGGTGGCAGTAAGTGTGGAGTTTTGATCGGTCTGGCTGATCAAGAGGATATTCAAACTTACCCATGGGTAGTGCTCCTGCTGTCCGTGTGATCAGGAGTTGACTCATGGTAACACTAGTAACAACACAGGTTGGAAATGGATGGGCCACTGATTCATGAAAATGGAGTAACATCACCTTGAATATTCGATACGCACCCTTGGCATTCTGTAGTGTATGTGATATTCACTGTGTTCATGGAATATGTCGTTCAGTGTGTATGTCAAGTATGAATTTCCAATTTAGTCAAACTGACGCTCTTTTCATGACAGCAGTGGTGCCATATTCAGTACACATTTTAGGGGCTGGTGGTGACATTAAAACTGACTGGTAATTGATTCCATTTCAGATGCTTATACCCACATGGCTACAAGCAACGGAGCACAGGTGAGCTGAAGTTTATGTAATGATAATTCTGTGTCAGTCCTGCAGACTAGTCTGGTGCCCACCTTGTTACAAGCCTCTGCTCAGGCAGTATGATGCTCAAGTGCAAAGTCATACGTGGACAAGTTTCCTTGAACACTTGAAATGAAGATGTCTGCACAGCGCAATTAGGAAAGATGTTGCGCAGACTGTGAACTTGCCCAGCCCCTTCTCCTTGTACCGGTATCTGGAGATGAATTGTGGGATTATGGATATGAAGAGCAGGAGTCAAGGGAATCCTGATTAAAACTTAGAAAGTCCCCCCGCCACATTTGAAGTATTGTATTAGCATCTTTTCAGAAAAAACCCATTTATTTTGTATAATCATGTGCTGGCAGAAGTTTGTCTACATGGCCGCTGGCTTCATCCATCATATCACCAGAAGTACACTAGCTGACTTCTGCACCTTTAAGTTTTTGACAACTTTAGTCATCTTAATTATGTCACAGTTCTATGCCAAAATTCGAAAACCAGGATTTTAATTTGCCTTACCTTTCCTGTTTCATAGGACAGTAAGATTGTGGGTGGGTCTATGCAGGTAACTGAAAGGATAGCAGACATTCTGGGCCCAGGTAGGCTGGATTGATCTTTCACGTGTCTCTGTTGTAGTCCACAAAGCTTTAAAAACAATTATAGCACATTGAAAATTGTTTATTTTTGTGTTCCAATTTACCCAGAATTAGTTTATACCTCAAACCAAATGTGACACAAAGTGATAAAAAAGGCAGTGGAGGTAGGATTGTAGTGTTTTACTTGGGATGCTCAGTACACTGACCCAATCAGGAATGCTTGGTGCATGAGTTACAGACACCAATTTACCATGGTTGCATCTGTGTTCTTCGTACTTGGACTTAACAAACTACTTTAATTACTCCAACTTTAAATACACAAAACCTACACTAAAGTGTTGACTTATTCGAGGATTGACTTGTGACTGTGTGTACTTTGGCAGGTACCTTAGAGAAGGGAAGAGATGTAACTTGGGAAGACGCTAGTTCAAAGTGTTTGAATTTACTGTTCTTTAGTGTTGATTTCACTTGATGATTTAAGAGTGAATGAAAAAACATGTCGTGTATGTGCTGGTTCAAACAAAGTGATGAGTGCACGCTAACAAGTTTTTGAACTGTGTGTGTACAAACCCACAACCATTTCAAGTGTGAGGATTGCACTTGATTGGTTGGCAGGTGTTTGTATCAGTAACAGAGGTGTTTGGCATTGTTAACTGTTGATGTTTGGCATCTGTAGCAGATAATGTACATGTACAGAGTTGGTTAGCTTAATTCAAGTTCCAGTTACATGTATGTCAGCTACCATACTTTAGTTAATAGTTTGTCTTTGTGACCCTTGAAAAAAAGACACATCAGTGACATTGTGTGTATACTCTTTCTGTATACTTGTGATTTTGCAGAGCATGTTATGCTGAACAAACCAGTTTCCAAGGTTGTGCAGCACGATGATGGATCTGTTGCTGTAACAACCCTTGGTGGCAGCAGCTACAGCTGTTCCTTTGTTATCAGTGCCGTCCCCCAGGCTCTGATTGGTCGGATAACGTTTTCACCTCCATTGCCCTCGCTGCGCAACCAGGTAACTCCGACTCAGCGGAATGACAATTTTATACTTATTTCAGGCAGTTTTTCTTCAATTCAGTTTTGGTTCACTAACAATGAGTTGGCATATTTTACATTTGTGGACGTCTTAATCACTTGTCTCAAAAAAGGTGCCAAGTTCAAAATTAATTTTCAAAACCAGGCATTTTTAGTTGATTTAATTTTTTGTTTTGATACCTTTCTCCAAATTGCACACACAGCTTGTTCAGCGAATTCCTATGGGATCTTGTATCAAGGTTCTCTTGTATTACAAGACACCTTTTTGGAGGAAGTTAGGTGAGCATGTTTGTTTTTGGCCTCTTTTCACTGGCAGCTTGTTTGTAGTGAAATAGCGGCAATATTTCTTCCTCCCCAGTGCATTTGAACCTGCCAGTCCTATCGCAGCTGTATTTTTTAATGTGTAATTTACGGAGTATACATCCTGTGTTTTCCTATGTGGTCAGACTTCTGTGGTGACATGTGGGGCACAGACCTGCTGGCAGAAGGTCATGATGACACAAAGCCTGATGGCTCGTATCCAGCGCTGGTTGGGTAAGTTCTACAAGGTGTAGGAATGGTTTATAGTATACAGGCCTACAAGCCACTGCCACAAAAAGGCCAATTTTGAATATCACTGCTAAAGTTTGGCTTGTGTTGTTACTGGCAGACAGTCATACTTTTGTTTGTCACTTATGTGCAGTCAAAGAAACACATCTGTCGTCACTGCATGGCATAAAATATTGTGCTGGCTGTGAGGTACATGTCACATTCACATGCGCTAATGTTTGCTTGTGCATGTTGATTTCCGTCAGTGCATCACTGTCTTCAATAAATTCTGATTCATGACTCGGCATGCTCGTGCTGCTTGTAAAGGTCTCTCTGTGAGATGGATGAATAGATTAGTCGGCAGAAATCTTTCTAGCAGTGACATTAAATGAGTGGCAGTAATTAAATGGTGGCAGTGGAAACCCGTCAGAATCAGTGACCATACTTTCATTAGCAGTTAGTACCTGTACAGTGTTGATGGTTTATTGTCCTTTACAGATTCTTAAATGGGGACAATGCCAGGAAGTACTGCATGGAAACCCCAGAGAAAAGGTAACGCTTGCTTGATTTCATGGATATATAGTGCCAATAAGACCATATAAAACATTGAAATCAAAGGGAACAAATACAGAGGCATATTCAGGAGACAGATTGTTGCTAGAGTGTTAAGGCTGATTCATACTTTATGTGAAAGTGAATACGAAGGCTTAGTCATGGGGGCAGATCAATATTCAAGCTGCAACAAAAATTGAACATAATTCAACTCACGCAAATTTTGCTGCAAGTGTTTGGTGACGTTAGATTCACTTTGCTTTTGCACTAGCCTGAAGTATAAACTGTCCTTGAGAGACCAGTCCTCTTCGAATGGAAGGCAACCAAGATGCATGCATCATAACCTTTCTTCTTTTTTGTTTTCAGGGCCAACATGGTTGCTGGATTCTACGCAAGGATTTTTAAATCGGATGAAGCACTCAATGTTAGTTTTGTTTATAAAAGATTCTTAATGCATCCACCGCACAAAGTATTTGTCTTATTAACCTTTAGCTGCCAAGAGGCCAGAATTGCAGTTTTTGTTTACAAACAAAAACATTAAGCAACAAGTTTGAATTGCAAGCAGGAGCATTATGATGAATTTCATGAATCCTACACCGTGTTCTTGTCAGAGCAGAGACTTTTCTTCATTTCTTTTGGCTTACTACAGACGAAACGACAGTGAGATGAAGTAATTTGCTCTTGAGTAATCGCTACTGTCATTTTTTGCCTCATACTAGCCAGTGGCCAGTGTGGAGCAGAACTGGATGGCAGAACAGTATTCAGGGGGCTGTTACATGGGAGCCATGCCCCCCGGAGTGCTGACGACACTGGGCAAGTAAGTCATCACAGAAAGGTAGCAGTCACTTGTGTGTCTCGCCATCTTCGAGAAGTAATGAGTCATTCATTGACACGGAATGTAAGAGGTGGTCCAGGCATAGAAATGGAAATGTGGAGCCACTTCAGAAAGCTGAACCCTCCTGGGGTGCAGTAGTGCTTACTTGTGGAACACCACACCTTGACTAATCCCTCACATGGCGAGGTGCACTGTTCCCCCCCCCATCTAGGAAACCAACCAAAAAGTTTTCTACAGCCAAGCCCCCAGCTCCCCCCCCCCAAAAAAAGGCTGAGAAAACATGCCTAACCACAACTTTGAAGAAAATGTTTAGAATTTTAAAGTACTTAAAGTCATTCCCAAGATTAAAACGCATTACAAGAAAACGATATACCCAAAGAATAGATTGAAGTGGAAGAGTTAATAAGTGAAGAATTTTGAAAACCATCTTAAACTTTCTGTTGTGAGAAAGTTTTGTGCTTGTTTGATGTCAGAAGCTGAAAGACCAAAGTCATCATGGTTATGTTAATGTTTCATCAAATTTAGGTTTTCACTGGTTGAAAATACATATAGTTGGACACAGACAGTTGGTGCCGCACACCTGTAGTTCTGGAAATCCAATCTGTACACGACTGTAGTTCAAGCGTTAAAGTACTTAGTAATTTTTCAGAAGGGGTGATGAGGGGTACTTAACATGTCTGTCTGCATTTGTCTAACCAAGCACGTGTTGCTCAACTCCTCAGGGTGATCCGGACACCCTTTGGCAGGTTGTATTTTGCCGGCACAGAGACGGCCACCAGGTGGAGTGGATACATGGATGGCGCTGTGCAGGCTGGCGAGAGAGCTGCCAGGGAGGTAGGTCATGTTGGAACAGCTCTGTGGAGGTTTGAGGGAGACCTTCAACCTTTTGAAATTCCTTCTGGTTCCTCCAAAACTTGGCCTGTCTTAGTAACTTGGCATTCCCCCCCCCCAAGATTGTGAAAATCTAGAAATCAATTTAGGCACCCTGTCACCATTATCCCTGCTCATTTGGGCTCACATTTGAATATTCCAGCGACCATCTCAACTTCCTGCGGAGTATACTAGCAAGATGCTGCCATATCAAGTGCAAATGGCTAAAGATGAAGACCACATCTGCCCTCATAGGTACCCATTCACTCCTTGGTGGAGAGAGGCCTGTGGAGGTAAAGTGACTTGCTTAAGAACACAATGTGCTGCCCACAGCTGGATTTTAAATGTCGACCCAATGATCAGAGACTACAAACCCTTACCACTGGGCCACATGCCTCCTCTCTGCCCTCAGAGGTACCCATTCACTCCTGGGTGGAGAGAGACCTGTAGAGGTAAAGTGACTTGCTCAAGAACACAATGTGCTGCCAACAGCTGGATTCGAATCCCGACCCAATGATCGGAGGCTACAAACCCTCACCACTAGGCCACATGCCCCCACACCATCATACCTCGCTGTCACGATGTAATGTTACATTACTTACCATGTGTCTGATGAAAACCTCACACAACATTGGAATGTTAAGCCTGGTTTCCATATCGATGTAAAAAAACGCAGAGAGCGATGCAATCAAGACGCAAACTGCAACGCAGACATATGGAAACATGTCAAATGGAGGTATTGCCGATAACCCAAACCAACCCCAGACAGATTGGCAAAGTTGAGCCTGGTTCAACTTTGCCAACTGTCTCCATTACTGAGTTAAAACCTATACAAACACACACGCTGGCATGACAGGCGTAGAACCATTTTTCTCTCGCTTAGTACCACTCATTTTGTCCATTTTCTCCATATTACTAGCATATGCAGCCCTGATTGTCAACAAAATAGCTGACCATTGACAAATTAAATTAAACTGGAGTATCAGTTTGCCTTTAAGAGGAAACATTGCCACCTAAAAAGGCACCGTTGGTGAAAATTATCCGAGTTTCGAGCACCATTTTGTTTAATTTTTTGGGTGGAATAACGTCACACAGCGTCTCTTCTGCAACTGTCTGCGTCTTGACGTCTTGCAGACTGTCTGTGTTACAAACGATCATATGGAAACCAGGCTTTATTGGTAGCTTGTTGTGACTTGTGTTTCCCACACAGCCACATTCATTTCAGATGACCTCATATGAATGTATTCATAATGGATGTGTTTCTTGTCTCTTCCTGCCTCTTTCCCATCTGAAGGTTCTGTGTGCAAAAGGCATGCTGCGCCAGGATGAGATCTGGGAACCGGAACCAGACCCTGAGGTAATGATGAATGAACTATGCCTTGATTGTGGCCAACCTAACACTTTGCTGGAACAACTTTTCAACTTGCAGAAATCCATAGAAATCAAGTAGATCTATCACTGTTTTCATATCAAGGGGAGGAAATACAAAATTTATCAAGTGACTGGTAAAGATTTCAGTATGGAGGCATGCTGAACCACTTCGTATCGGATAATGTTCAGGGAATTTCTGTACCATTGTAACAGCTCATCTTGCAGTAGAGCAGGACATCCTCTGACTAATACTCCCCATACTCATGGAGGAATGTGTTCCTTCCTCCATGCCATACTTGAGTTCATTTGTGTTTGCACCAGGCCTGTTGCCACCAGCTTCAGCTGATAAGAGGGCCACAATACCAGCTGGAGAGGGGCACATCACAAAAACAATAGAGAATGTTGATACTTGGTTTTGTTGAGGGGAGGTAGCTGCTCGCCAGTGGGGTTTGGCCATCAGGGCTCCGCCCAGTGACGGGCCTGGCTTGCACACACATGCACAGTGGGTCAAGCTGGTCTGCAGATGTTGAGCATGTGTGGAGCCCTTTAATCACTTGCTGCAGGGGTTTCCGGTACTGGACACGTATTCTTTATACGCATGGCTGGGGTCTCTGAAATCAGACAAAGGGAACTGGGCCTTGTAACAAAAGACCAGGCTGCTGGGCATTACTAACATTTTTCACTCTCAAAAGTGGAGATAATCCAGCCCTGTTTTGAAACAGTATACCATGGTTTGGGGCATTTAGAGCTAGCAGCAGTGATGAGCTACACAGTACCGCTGCACGCTAATCTGGCCCCTTTTGAAAAGAGGTCAGCAGCGCACTGTGCCAGGTTCGTGAACAAAAGAAAATTATGCAACACTGCACAATCTGGGCTCTATTTACAAGGCAGCAGGCCTAGCTGAAATACTGCAGCGTCAATAGCTGTTGTCTGTCAGATTAGAGTAGAACCAGACAGTCCTTCGTGTGGGTGTAAGTGTCCAGTAAATGAAGATTGGAATTTTTAAAGAATTTTGAAAACAGGAAAAAAATGATAATTATCCTGCCCCAGCATCATCAACATTGATTACTGCCCCCAGCGCGAAGTGGTTAATAAGCAGCTGTGTGCCACAGCCAGATTTTGTAGCAAATAGCACACCTCACCAGTACCGGGGACCTTGTCAAAACTTATGGATGTGATTTGTTCCTATAAAATGAAGTTCAGTTTGATGTATGACTCAGTTTAGCATCCATTTCCATTGACATTCCTTCAAACCCTCTGGTGCCTCTACAGCATCGCTGTTTCCAACAACCAGAGTTGAAGGATGTGCATTGTACGACTGAGCATTTCCTGTCATTTCTTCCCCAGAATGATGGCGTAACCTACAACCCCTTTGCCAACAGCCTTTTCCTTCGCGTGGTGCCTTCTGTCCCAACCTTCCTGAAGCTCACCGGAGGGTCATTGGCCCTAGGTGCTGTCACCTCGCTGCTTTATCTCCACAGATACAGGCTGATGTACTTCTTTCACCACTAGAGGTATTTGCTGTACTCTGACTGATCCATAGTCAGGGAACAGACCTGTAACATAAAGACATCATGCTTTGCTTGCCTGTGCGCTTCAATTAGTAGGGAGATGGGAGGAAGCCCACAGAAAAATAAATCATGACTGTCATTATTTTAGATCTGTTGATGGTGCAACACATTGCACTGAGCTCCTCAACTTTTTATACTTTGTACATTTTTTTGTTCCAATGCAATAGGAATCATTTAAAATTTGGATGTAGAGGTGAAAGACTGTGATATAAATTCTTGAGCAGTGTTCAGACTTGACAAATTGGACTTCAGTTTCTGCCTAGTAAGGAATGGACGTAAGACATCCATGTTTAGTTATCTCATTATTAACCAGATTGCAAGGACCAGCCTAGTTGATGTACATGGAGCAGATCCTCGTCAAAAATACTGTAAAAACAAAGACAAAAGAATTCAAGAGATTTGGAATTTTTATTTGTGGTGTATTGAGTAATGTTGGCTTGAGGTAAAAATTAATGTTGGTTTTGGGCCAAGGTTTCTGTGGTAAATGATGGAGTTAGTTGAATTTATTAGCAATGGGAGTAAAAAAGACATGTACCCAAATTATGAAGTGCAGCAAATGCAGGGAAATTTTGAAAATTTATGACAAATTTATTTTATTTTCAAACATCTGTATCTCATATGTATAACAAAATGAGAAATAAAGTCATGTGGTATAAAAAATGATTAGAAATATTTTTATTTGTAATAAATGGTTTGTACAGAATCTAGCCTATGGAACTAATTTCAGTACACAATGGAAAACCCAGCAGATGCAATTACCAGTATGTAATTTGCCTCTTAAAAAGCCTTCATAAAAAATTGATTACATCATATAATTGGTTATAAAAATAGATTTCTATGGAAAAGCATATTGAAAATTGGCAAATGTGGTATTTTACAGTCATAAGTCATATGTGTCCATAAAAATGACATGAATTTAACCCTCCCTCCTCCACATCCAGTGAAACTGAGTTGACGGAACATTGTATTCTTTAGCTTTGCATCTCAGTAGATCAAGTAAAATGACTGGCCAAACTGTACTGCCTATAATTACATGTACATGTGTAAGTACTGCATTTAAGTATCAAACATTAATAGCAACTTTGTACCTCAAAGCTTACATACGCAGTCACTGATTAAGCAACTTACTGAAGTTGATCCTGAAAACAACCATAAGTACATGTACATTTAAAATGTGAAGAGGACTGTAAATGGGCTCTTGAGTACAAATGCCCCAACAGTGGAAATAGGATACTGTGAGATCTCCGTTAATTTTGCCTTTTCAAATGGTCACAGGGAGAACAAAATAAAATTGTGAAATGGAAACAGCAGGGTTAGTTTGCTCAA